TGTTGTCTCTGTCTCGTGCTTGTGATTCTAGATGTGAGCCATCAGATTCTGCCTCTGTCACCATGACTGCCACCTGTTGCCTCTTCCGCCATCATAATTCTAATCCTGTGGAACTTTAAGCCCAAATAATTGTTCTATATGTCATGGTGTTTCAGCACAGCAATAGGAATATAACTCATACAATCATCAAATCAGGCGTACAAAATATTCATCAGCAGTCAAATGGGGAAGAGCCATGAAGGCACTCAGCTATGAGTTCATTAGAATGAGTCTCAGGCAGGGCACAGCATGCCCTCGGGTTGTAAGAGTAAGGGACAAACAGCAGTAAGAGTCACATAATAGATATCTCTGTGGGAAATGACTGACTTTCTAAGTACACTCAAGGGTACGAGCTTTTTCTATGCAGCCGGTCTCTCCTCCATGTCAGAGTTATGAGGGAAGACAGCCCATCCTCAGGTAAGGTGTCTTAGAGGACAATTACAGACAAACATGCTTAGGTGTGAAATGAGGGTGGGGCGATTCCAACCCCAGAGCCAGCTTCTCAGGGTGTGCATACAGCACACGACAATTATGTCACATCATAGACACTGAAGTGTGGTTCTCTGTGTCAGACACACCGACTGCTCTGCTGTTGCCTTGTCTGTGTGTCCTTCCCATCTAGAATCCATCTGTGTTGTTTCTCATGGTATATACTCACTCTGGCCATCTTCCCCTTTGTTTCTGTTGCCATGGTGTTAGGATATAACCATTTACCTCCTCAGGACAGACCTTCCACTGTTCCCTCCTCTCTGTGAGCTTTTTCCATCTCCTCCCATATGCGTTATCATTCTATTCATGATTTTTCCTCTCTTGCCCTGCCTTGCATATCTAGCGAAGTAAATTTGCAGCCAACGGGCTTTTGAGCCTACAGTGGAGGATTCTGTTAAGTTTATTTCCCCACTGCCTGAAGAACTCAGGCTTTCTCTGCTAAAGGTCCCCAGTCAGGGCTTTTTTCTAACTTTTTAATAAGTATTTCATTCTAAGATAAAAATCCACAGCTGGAGAAAGCAGGATTATCCTACTAGTACTCAACACAAGAATGCAATCAGTTCAAACATCTAGAAGCAGTTAAACCTGTGTGGGCTTCCTCTTCATGCGCATCTATCGCCTGCTCTGAGTTTTCTAAGGGGAGTTTGCAAGTCCATAATGTTAAAAAGTTTGTAAATGTTTATGTATTTTCTTAATTTTCTTTATTGGCGGCTTTTAAATAAATGTTTGGGAATAATCCATTATTGGAGTATAATTTGCATGCCAGAAAATTGACTCTGATTTTTACACTATTCTGAGTCATACAACAGTTACTACAATCTAAAGTTAACCCATTCTAAAGTTATATGCAATTTAACTTCAGAATAGTTTGAATACACCGGAAGCGAGGTCAGATAAAAATGAAACTTCCACAGCTGATCTTAGAAGGAAAGGAGAAATTCTGAGATGGCAGCATGGCTAAAGGAGGAATGTGGAATAAGAGGATCCCTAGGCCAAGGCAAAGCAAAGAGCCAGGCCCCCATGAGGCAAAGGAGACAAGGGAGGTCTGCAAAGAGCCTTCAAATAGTAGACTGGATGTCATGGTGTCTGCTGTTCTCTAACCAAGGGAGGAGGGAAATTCCAGGTTGCAGTGTTCAACAGGACTTGCAGGTAGTTTTTCTTTAAAAAACTCAAAAGTCTATCCACTTAAGACTCAACCACTTAGAAGGTTCCTGTTGTAAGCATTCTAAAGGAGTAGCCATCGGAAATGTACCCCAGTTCCTACTCAGACATCTTTCAAAGAAGTGACTTTTACTAAAATTAAATCGTATTGTGAATTAAAAGTTTAAAATGTTGAAAATACATTGGCATGCTGTAAGAGTTAACTAGCCTACCTAGAGGTTAACGGAACATGTTTGTAACTCATAAAAACTCCAAAGCTAGACTTGAGGAGCTGATCTAACAGGCCTTCAGCTTTCAGCAGTGTTCCATGCTCCTGCCTGAGTTGCGCATGAGGTCTGGAGCAGGACTCTCTGTAGGACCTCATCGTTCTACTACAAACCCCCTTTGAGAGAAACAACTTGATGAGTGAGCAATGAAGACTCACTAAGGATGTATGTGGAGCCTTTGCCTCCCAACAGGACTGGAGATTGCAGGTAGTACAGCTTACTTACACGTAAGTACTCTGCATTTAAATGGGCAAGATGTTAAAACAGAAGCAAAACATTAGGTCAATAGAACAAAAAAAAAAGACATTGTGGTGTGACTCATTTTCTACAAAGGAGTAAACCTGGGGAAAGAGTCAGTAAACCTGAGCTCCTTTGAAGCCCACAAGCCTAAGCTAATGCTAACACGCAAAACCCCTCGAGATATTGCGGGTTTGGACCCAGCCAATTCAATAAGGAAATACCACAGTACAGCAAGTCATAGACACGTGGTTTACCAGTGATTGTCCAAGTTTAGTTATATTTTAGTCCACTAAAAGTACAACAGCAGTTGCTTTACAATGCACAAACTTAATTAAAACCAATTAATACGATGCTGTCGGTCATATGAACTGTGAGGACGAAGTCACAGGTAGACGCGTGCAAGGCAGGATCGCCACCCATCGTCTATCTGTGCGTGTCAAGTCAAAAAGCAACTGAGTGAGGTATATGACATGGGGTTGTAGAGTGGGGTTGGGGAGCCAAGCCAGGAGGTCATTCAAATTAGACTTCTGTGTGAAAGCTTCTAGAAGGAGTGCCAACGGCTTTTAAAAGCATTTAATAACCAACCGATGCCAGCTACTGTTTCACGTCAGACCTCTAACTTCCTTATGGTGGACTGTTTTCACATGTGTTCAAACGTGTGATTTGTAATAAAGATTCTCAGATATACTCCTGTGGGCATAGAGTTCTCTGTGCCATGTGATTCATAAGTTGAGGGTCTCAACCCTAAAATGATGTATCAGCAAGCAGAGCTTTCCATAATATATATTTAATCAATCCATAAAGCTCAAACTTTCATAATCCAACTGTTGCCCTTATGGAAAGATGCATCCTAGCCCTGGGAAGCTGAGGCAGGAGGATCAGAAGCTTGAGGTCAGTTTAGGCTATGCAGTGAGTTTGCAGCTTGACAGGCTATATAAGACTATTGTTCAAAAAATTCAAATAAAGAGACACAACCCAGAAATATCTCTCTACTTATAAGTATGGCATGGACAGGTGACCACATCTGAACCAGGAGAGAGCCTGCTCTAGCCAACAAGCAGAAATAACAGAGGCACTCATCATTATGAGTATGAGAATTCCTTGAAGTCATCTGCAGAGCTCACTGTTGATCATAGTGAGTTTGAGCAAAGTAAACAGGTCAGAACTGCCTTCTTTGGTGGGAACAGGACAGCAGCCTGTGAGCTCATGCGTGGTCTAGCTCAGTTCCACCCCTGAGCATCCCTTACCACAGAGCCGGATGAGAACCTCAGCTGTCTCTAGAAGTCCAAGGAGAAAAAAAAAAAGCATCTATGCCACATTAATTTTAACCTTTACAATAAAAGACCAGGAACACCCTTGGGATGATCCAGTCCACTTACTCCACAAATCTACCGTGGGTCAGGCAGCCTTCTGGTTTTTAAGGACAAACAAAGCCATAAAGAGCCACAATCCCATAGTGGCAAGGAATTTCTTTTATTCTCTTCAAACAAACAACAAGAAGAAAAGCAGCTCTCCTCCTGACTTCCTGTGAGGACCTGGTCACCCCCATTCTGCAAACTGCTGCTCCTAGTAGTTATACCACGTGACTTTCTCTTCAGGATCCCTCTGCGACTTCCCAGGCTTCCCCCGACGGGTCTATACCATCCCCATCCAATCGTAGGATCTTTCCTTGCATCACTGACCACTCAGCAGGACTGGCAACCAACCGTCCATCTCCCAGTGTTCCCAGTTTCTCTCTGTAATGTGCAGTGTCTAATGCCTCCGGCACTGGGGGACACTGTCCAACCACGAAACGGGAGCCTCCCAGGCATATCCATCACCACGTCCCTCCACTGGCACCCAGTCATTGGCTCTTTATCACTCTTGTTGGTGATGGATTTATTACAGACATGTCCCTTTAAGAATGTGAGCCCTAGGAGAATAGGCTGGTACCTGTCTGTTCACCGTGCACCCCCGGGGTGCCAAATGAATTCAGTGACAATGGGGAACAACAAGACATTGCAAGTTTGTGAATACAATAAACTGAGCAATTAAAACACAGTTATAAATTGAGAAATCCTATGAAAGAATGAATGATACAGTATTCATAACCACATAAAAAGGTAACCACGCTTTCTGAGGAAGTGCCAAGTATCCACCACACTATACAAAGAATGGGAGGAACCCGTTGTACAGTGAAATTACTCTGTCTAGGGCTAGGTAGGTGGGGCTGAGTCAGTCCCGGAGGCCAGCCTATGCACCCTGCACTGTCAGAGTCTTGCAGCAAGGGAGAGCATGAGTCCATTCCTCAGTGACTTTGGACTCTGAAGAGGTCTAGTTGTTATATACTGTTTGACAGGTGGCTCCTGTCTAGCCTATATGGGAAACACTGGCTGCACTTGCTCCTTTCTTTAGATGCTTCCATGGACCTCTATTGGGAACAGCTTGCCTCGAGCACTGCTGTGCACCAATCAGAACTCAGTATGAAAATCTCTGGGAAAATTTCACCCGGCAGCATCTTCTAACAAACCCATCTATTGTTTTAAACTAGACAAATGTAGATGGTCATGCCAAGAACCACTGGAGAGCAAGAATAGCTAAGAAAGGAGGCATTGTCTCTCTAGTTAAAATTCTAATGCAGGACAGAAAGAGGGAAAGTAAGATTTCTAAGAGGTCTGTAGGTTGACAAGAGTAAGCATACATTGTGGGTTCGGCTTGTTGCGACAGAGTACAGACACACGGCCCTGCTTCAAGGTGAGCGTTGGGACTGAAGACATGGAATGACGAGATGGCAGAAACCCATCTAAAGGAAGGCAGCGCTCCTACCTGTGGCCAGATAGATGATGTGGACGAGTGTGTCCCTGCCCTGCACCACGTCGACGGCCACGTGGGAGAAGCGGCTGTTGTCCTCCATGAAGGAGGGCACAGTGGTCACTGGCTGTACCACCTCATGCATCAGAATGAACTTCTGAGCGTCCTGTAGGTTTCTTTCTGTCAGGTTTACATACAGGCCCTGGTCCATGGTGCCGCACTGTAAGGGAAGACAGGCCATGTTACAAAAGCTGACTATCCAGATGCCCACAGCTCAAGTGCCTACCAGACAGAGAGGTAGACAGAACAAGCTGGAAGTGGAGTAAGCCACAATACATGAGTGGGTGTGCAGATCAGGAAACCCCTCCAACTCCCTTGCCCTTCTTGACCTGTTCTCTTACTGTGGATGGAAACCTGTTATATTTGGACTCTCTCAATGGATGGTAAAGAAGATATGAGACACTTTAAGATGGAGCGGGCACTGTTGTTGACTCTAATTTGAACAGCAGAGGCAGAGAATCCCCTCGTGGTCTGTTAAACCTCTTGGAAGCTGTCTGTCTAATTGCAATATGACCATATCTGATGGATGAAGGGGAAATGACGTGGGATATGAAGCCAGAGAGCACATACAGATGTATGTATTTTTCCGCTATCACAGTGGGCTCGTAAGTAACCCTGAACTCCATGGCAATCCTCTGCTATTCATCTTACTCTGTAGACAATATCGGTCACATGGGCCCCACAAATAGTGTGACAAGACTAAATGTATTAGTGTTTCTTGCTGGAGGAGAGCTTACAGGAATAGGTTAGAGTCTGAGGGTTCGCAACACACGGCGGCAAATCGGTAATGGGAAAAGATAAAAGCAGCGAGGAAAGGAGGGTGAGCAAGGGGGAGATGAGGAAAAATGGAGAAAGAGGAAAGAAGGAACAGTGTTCAGGAAGTGAAAATACCATGAAGATGATCTGCTAGACACACGGGAAAGGCAGGGTAGAAATGGTCAGAAATCAATCTCAGAGTTGGGCTGGAAAGAGGCTGATGGTTCTTACAAACAATGGTAGGGCCAAGGACAAGGTGATGGACAGGTGGGAAAGACAGCAGGGCATTCTCAGCATCCAGCTCAGGATCAGAAAACTGCTACGGCCCTTCTCGGTTCCTTTGTAAACTTCACGGCCTGGTACAGGAGGATGTGAGACTCCTCAGCAGTATTCCACATAAGCAGGGTTGCTGGGGTCCACACGGCCCGAAACTACCATTTATAACACGTCATTTCCAATACTTGGTTTTTTATAACAGGTTAGAGGTTCAGAGTATAAGATGGATATTGCTTTTTTGAAAGTAAATTATATTTTTGTAGCATTTGATAAAATATCCTATATGCCATAAAATGATAGGTGGATTGCGGAGCTGGAGAAACCCAGCATTAAATGCACTCCACAAAACTAGCCTGGTAATTAATTTAATGCTGCATTCTTGTTAGGAGCACCTGGGCACCATGTAAAGGGTGTGTTCAGGGTAAAGGAGGGCCCGCGGCAGATGACCTGTGGCCCCAAGCGAGGCCTGGCCTCTCAGCTTGTTTCCTTAAATGCTAAGTGGTTGGCACACACAAGCTCTGCTCCTGGCTCCTGGCTCCTGGCTGACATACAAACTAAAGCAACGGGAGGAAAGCATTTATAAATTAAGTCCCTGTAAATGCCAGGAAGAAGACAACATTCTGGAGAGCGCAGAAGCTACCCACCAGATTGTAAATGCATTTGTCTAAACGCAGGCAGGATGTTCATGGTCCGTGGAGCTTTGGTGTCCAAGGGGAAATAAGTGGATGAATAATGGGACAGATAAATGAACAAGTAATTCTACATACAGTTGTTTGGGGTCTGCGAAGACTGTACCAATGGATTTTTATATAAATAGTATTTAATAATAATACTCTAAGCATGGACACATCATCTATCAGGAATGTGAGTTGTTTTTTTTTTTTTTAAGATTTTAACTATTACCTTTAATTTCTCTCTCTCCCTCCCTCCCTCATCTCTCTCTCTCTCTCTCTCTCTCTCTCTCTCTCTCTCTCTCTCTCTGTGTGTGTGTGTGTGTGTGTGTGTGTGTGTGTGTGTGTGTGAGAGAGAGAGAGAGAGAGAGAGAGAGAGAGAGAGAGAGAGAGAGTAGGTGCCCACAGAGGCCAGAGATAATCAGATCTCTTTGGAGCTGGAGTTACAAATGAGTGTACTTCTTGATATAGGTTCTGGGAATTGAACTTGCATCCTCTGGAAAGGCTGTGTGTGTTCTTAACAGCTGAGCCACTTCTCCACGCCCCTAGGAACAGTTTTGAAAAGTAAGAAAGATCACCAACTGGACGTGATTTGAAACCTTTGCAGGTGAATGCTAGCTCTAAAGGCCATTGTTGTGTGGTGGTCATTGTACTGACATCAAAGGCAATATTGGAGGGTGGGTGGTAGCAATGGCCCACCTGCCAGCTTCAACTGCAGAAAGCTACTGTTTATATTCATTTGCTGTCTTCAAACAGATGGCGTGCTGAAAACCTGGAGGTATACTTTGAAGGGGGTGGCCTCCTACTGCCCTGGAGGAACCGCTATCTCGGACAGGGGGCTGTTAGAGCGCTAAGATAGAGCACATTCCTGGAAGCCGTGTTTTCTGCATGTTGTCTGCTTGTATTATCAAGAACTGTATTTTTAGTGTTTTCTACCATTCTTTCCCCTTGCTATCCTATAATGAATATCTCAATATCCAATATTTTGAAAACTATTCAAATTTACTGGATATATTTCTTGCTGTATAGCAGCTCACCAGACTCTCCAAGGGCTATAAATCCTCTAGCTGAACCTTATATATACACTGGTCTCCCCTAGATACTGTCAGGTACTTTGCTACCCTGGGGACCCCACACAAGAAGAAACCACAAGAGTGGAAAAAGCATAGCTGTGTCCAATATCTGTTAAGTAATTCTATTACATTACATTAATTGCCGGAAGATAATAAATGCTTGTGTGTTATCTGTCTCAGGCTCATCTATCCTCGTTCCCGCACACTTGAGCTTGATGGTCAAGTCAAATGGGCTAACTTCATCCTCGACAAGGTGTCTCTGCCCAATGGCTCCCCTGCTCCTTCACACCTCACTGCCAAGAGAAGTGTGTGTTCACGGACTCTCGGGATGAAGCTAAACTTCAGCCTGCCTTTCCCAAGCCATCTTCTTGTCTGACTGCTCCTGCGCTCCCATGTTTTCATGTTGACTGCATCGATTCTGATTGTTGATAATAAAACTTGAGAAAGGTTCTGAAGCTCTGCCTGACAGTGTTTTAAGTGGCTGATGATCTTATGGGTGTCAAGATCTCCTCCCTCTACCAGGGCACACAAATACCACCAAGGGTGTTGGGAATGGGCTGATTAAGGGTGGCGAAGTAGTTTCTGTTGTTTTGTGGGTTTTAATTGAGTTTTCAGAGTGTGATGTATTTCTCTTCGTAGATCATTTTTTCCTGAACCAGTTACTCCAGTTAATCGTTTTCTTTCCTATTGTATATTTGCTTACATAAATTCTAACTGTCAAAAAGAAAACCAAAATAACAACAACAATAATGTTAACAATAATAAATATAAATATCACCATTGGTTATTGTCAATGTTGCAACACTTATATATGTCTAATGGAGGGATCTTTGCTACAAAATGAGTTCATACTCTCTGACAGTCAGGCTCCTATGACAATGAGACTACTAAACACAATCTATAAATAGAAACCAGTCTGTAGTAAGAGATGGACACACACACACAAACACACAGATGCACACAAACATATACATATATCACCACCACTACCATAATCTACAACTTTAGTTTCCTAAAAGTTTCAAATCCAGGCTCAGAGGATGACGTCAGTTGAGCCAGCTCCTTGCCTGGCATGTGTACCACCCCTGCACATGCCCCTCCACAATTCTGCATGGATCTAATTCTACTAATAGATGAAAGCAAACTTGTTGATGTGATCCTGGTATTGTAGAAGCAGGACATGAGGGCACTTACTAGCTATGTGCTATGGATATATCTAGATGCCTGGGCTAAACTACACATTACCTTAGGTGTGTAAAAGAGGTTGAAGCTGCTGAGTCCCTCAGTTCATTTGGAAGAGCTGTAGTCAAAGGGATAATGCAATGGCAGGCTCTATAAATATAAGTGTCTTGGTTTTTTTTTCTAACCTCAGATTTAAACACTTTTTAAAAGGGGATAATATATTTTCTTCTTATATCGAAAAGAAAAAAAAACAGTCAAAATATACAATTACTCAACGTGTAGGACACAGAAGACTCCAGACAGAAGGTCCCCATGGGCCCTTTCAGTCGAATGCTTTGGGCAGTAATCAAGCATATGGACCGGTACTTTCAAGTTTATTTGCATCCCTCCTTCCCCTTTCTATCAAGGAAATCATGAGAAGATGCTAACACTTTGATTTTGTCCAAGGAAAGCAGTAAAATCCAAATACAATGTGCAAAGCAGTTATTCTTAATCCCATAATGTCAAAAATCTTAAACAATATTGAACAAATTAAAAAAAGCTCAATTGTAATTGATTGATGTTTACCCAAAATTTAAGTGCAAAAATTCAAACTTTTTCTTAAGCCTGCTTTCTTGGAAGTCCCTGTTTCTATAATCTGGGATGATAAACCAACCAAATTGGAAGGACTCGGTGGTTGGGAGGACTCGGTGGTTGGGAGGATTCAGTGGTTGGGAGGACTCCGTGGTGGGGAGGACTCCCTTCTGTGACTGATCAATGGCCGCGGCTAACAAGCCCTTAGTTGGATGGGACTGGGATTTTGCCTCTGTTGGTAAGGGCAGGAGCTGAGCTTGATCTCCAACCAGATGTGGCCATGGCTATTTTACTTGAGACTCTGGACACAGAGCAGTATCACACGTAACACTCACGCCACATGTAAAGTCACACACCTGACACATTAGGCATAGTATCAGGAACTTGGTGATGGCTAATATTCTGCCTGAGTTGACAGTAACAGGCCTACAGGGAAGGCTGTTCCCGTATGTGCTGCACCCAAATTCGTATGAAGATTCTATCTCTCAGCATGGTAGTAGCTGAAGACAGGACCTCTAGGAAGCGTTCAGTGCCATAGCAGTCACGCACTGCCCAGTGGGATGGAGGAAGAAATACCAGCGATGCTTCTGTCTTCTAAGGGAGGACCCAAGGAAAAGCTGGTCATCTTCAATACCTCACCAGAAAACGATCCTGTTGTCATATTGATCTTGAAAGTGTAGGGTACTATGATGAAATAAAGTCTCTCTCTCCCTCTCTCTCAATACCATCTAAACTGTGTCATTTTGTTACAGCTTCCCAAGCAGATGAATAGACTTGCTGTCAGGACAAACAAAATAAATAGCCATCATCCCCCGGTCTCTGCTTTTTCTGCACATAGAAGGTGGGATGATTGACACAGGACATCGCAGCTTGACCATTCTAATTGGGTGACTGAAGATGAATCAACACTAGCCAGGCTTCTTTTCTCAGCAGCCACAGCCACAATCCACCCTTCCCAACAGGAAGCCTCACCATACTTGCCAATTAGAGCTCTAATTATGTTTGTCAAGACCCATTGCTCCATGCCCTGGGCCCTATTCTTTGGGACATCATTCATTAGAGACCAGAGATTTGGGGGACACAGTACATAATCATTAACAGTAATTGAAGCTTGGATTCCTAGCCCATTGCAGAGGATTGGCCTTTTTCGGTTAACCGTCAGTCATCACAGCTCACAAAAGGCCCCCTTTCCTTGTCTAGGCGCCATAGCCCACAAAAGGCTGTGTTCTATTGACATTAGCTAAGCCTAGGGAGGGAGGTGCTGTTCCCCAGGGGCCAGGAGACTGCAGCTGCAGGGTGCATGCAGCCAAGGTTTAATTGCTCGGGCTCCTAGGCTATGTTGGGTTTCTGCTCCCTTACTGGAGGATACTCATGATGCCGTCTCCCCTGAGATTACCTGAAAATTTGGGTTGGGGTTGGGATAAGGCAGCCAGGCTGAGCGAGAGTTCTCCTGGTACTTGAAAGGTCCATTGAAGGCCTGCGAGATGGCGCTCAGGTTGAAGACACACACAGCAGAGGCAGCGATGCTGTTCCTGGAGAAAAGAAAGGAGAAGGAACAGGCTAGTCAGGGCCCATCAGTGACAGCTGGCCTCCGCTGATCACAGGGATGGCATTCACCTGTAGCTGTTCCAAGTTCAAGACTTTTCTCTAACAATAAGGCTGAGCCAGGGTGATGCCTGGGTCTACCTTGTACTTTCTTTATGTGGAAGCAAACATTCAGAGAATGAAATGAGGGGAAGTGACAGATATGACCCTGCCGGCTGCGGACCAAATTCACTCAACGACAACAGGAGCAACAAGGGACTTTGAAAAGCTTCCCGAATTTTAAATTCCGCTGTGTGGGTGGGTGGGGGGTGGGGGACGGTTGTCTTCCAGTGGACTGAGACAGCCATTCTCCTTGCATGGCTTCCTCTTCCACCTATTTATCCTGTTACTTAGGTGGCAGCTGGTCAAACTTTTCTTCCTATCAAAATCTACAGATATCTGTGTTTGTCATTCTTTAAAAAAATAATAAACCAAATGTGTTTTGCAAGGAATGACTGTCAGATTCATCTTATTCATTATTAAGAAGGGATTGTAAATCTAATGGGTCAGCAAGGAAAAAATTTAAAGAGCACTGACATAAAAATTTGAAGCCTTAATTTAGAATTCAGGTTCTACAAGAGAGCTGTGGGCAGAAGGCTCTGGAAGGTCAGCGCCCTTTGACTAACACGGGGATGGCAAACGCTTCTTTCTCAAATCTGCATTCCAAGCTGAGCTACGGGTCTCAAAGGGAAATGTAGACTAAATGAGGGGTGTGAACGTATTTTCCATATTAATGCTCTGAGCCAATATCTTGTCAGAATTAAGTCAGTGTTTTCCTTACATCATAGAGAAAAATCACAGGACCTCCAGAACCTCACATCCAACTTGTGCTTGCTTAACTGGCAAATAATGAAGAGGGGAAGGAAACCACCCTACAGACTTCCCTAATACCAGCACAGGCTTGGAATCTTCAGGGTAAAAGACATGTCCATATACGAAAAGGAAGCCTGCTCAGTGAGGTTCTGACACCCGGCCATGAGTGGGGAGAAGCATCCTGGCTGCTTTTCAGCAGAGATCTGGATTTCAGCTCTTTGAGAGAGTTCTGTGAGAAGCATATGGTACTAAGGAACAGCTCATACAAGACGAATGTTTTCCTGGGAGTCCAGCACTGAGAAGAGCCCCATGTGGAGCCCAGATGCTCCCACTGCAGAAGATGAAAAAGAAGTGGGTGCTTAGTGTAGATTTATTCATTCTGTGGCTCTCCTCCTCCTCATTGGCTTGGGGAGAGTAGAACTTGAAAGTCTCCTGAGTTCCTGTCTGTCTGGAGAGAAGCTGATGCTGGGTGGCTTTTGACATAGAGAACACTTGCCATCCTGGAGTGCAGTTGAGGCGCTTTCCCATCTTTCTAAACAGACTCCCCTTGGAGTGGCTCAAACACAGGACTTAGAGAACTTTGGAAATGGGAGCTCTCGCTGCTGTTGTTTCTGGCCCAGAGCCATCAAATCAGCAAGCCAAGCTCCCATTGTGTGTGAGATTGATGTCAGCGGAGGACCCGGACATTCATCTTGTGCAGCCAGCACCAGTCCTTAAACAAGGTTTTGGGAAACAAATCAACTTTAGAACCCATAAATTGATTTTTTATGAAAAAGAAAATCTTCAAGTAGTGAAAACGACCTCTGGGGTTGCAAAGCAGGTCTCCAACAGGCATGGCCACCGTGAAGGGGGTGATGGCAAGCCATCTATACTACACAGTTTCCGAACTCCATTCTTAGCGAAGACCGTGCAGCGCAGGTTTATATCCAGTGAGCATGAACACTCACCAGCGGTGGTGAGAGCAAAGAGGAAGCAGGAGGCTGTGGTATAAGGGACCCTTCGGGAATGCCATTTGTAGGCAGGCTTTCTGATACAAAGTGATAGAGGCACAGGAGAGACTAGAGAGATTGTTTGGTGGATAAAGCACTTGCTGCCCAAGTGTGAGGCCTGGAGACTAGAACCCTGGAGCCCATGGAAAGCTAGGCAGCCATGGTGGCCACCTCTAATTCCAGCATTTAGAAGGCAGAGACTGGGATCACTGGGACAGATTGGCTAGCTGGAATGGCCAGGATTAGCGAGTTCTAAGTTCAGTGTGAGACCCTGCAGCAACCAAAAGAGGAGAGCAATGGAAGAAGATATCCAACATCAACTTTGGACCCAGCCTCATGCACATACACTGTAACACACGTGCATCCACACATTGTGAATATATACGCATGCACATATACACACTTTTCACACACACACACACACATATACATACATACACACACACACATAAATGTTAAAGGAAAAATACAGAGACAGTGGAGAAAACATCACCCATTGTCTAGCTTGGACAGAAATAAGATTTCCCAGGATGTAAGATGACCATCAATAGCGAACCGGGAGCAACGTCAGAGAAATGGGTCAACATTTCCCTTACGAGGAATCTTTCTGCGCACCTACTTTGAATCCTTGCTTGACCTTTGTCTCAATTGCTGGATCTCCAGGCTGGAGCTCCCAGCTGAAACCTTAACTGCACCTCACAGCTAACAGAGGAGCACACCCCAGAGTTCTCCAAGGTTTCTAGTTCCTAGACAGGCAGCTAAGGAGGGGAAAGTCAACGCAGGGGCATGAGACACTCCACCTAGGAAAGACTGACTGAATGAGAGCTCTGGAAATTTCCCAAGCTTTCCGAAATCAAATAGTCTCTGTTGTTGTGGTTAGGAGCATCTTTCCAAGAGAAACACAAGGTGCTATGAGGGGAAAATTGCAGCTGCATTCAAGCAATGCAGAGGCCCAGGCAAGAATGATGTGACTGCAAAGCTCAGACATTTAGACAATGCTGTTTTTATTATGCAAAAATGCATGACTTTCCTATGGAAAAAAACAAAAATCTTATCTAATATGTACCTGCACTTCACAAGGTGTTTAGAACACACAATAAGGAAGGAGCAATTCATAATACAATAATTTGATACTACTTTTTCCTGAGGACAAGTAAGAAAAAAATATTTTGAATTAGCTTTCCTGAAGCAAGTCCCGCAAAGCATGTATCTTTACCTAACATTTAATTCATACTGAAAAGACTCTTTTTGTCGTTCTTTGGCTCTTAGCCCGGGGAAAATAAGAAAAACTTTCTCTAAGGCAACTTTAAACTCTCAGAGGTCAAAGAACAAAAGGCTCATTCAGGAAAAGAGGAAGAGAAGAAAGAGAGAGAGCAAGCTTCAACCACAGCTACATACACGTTGGTGGTGAAGATGCCATAGATCAGGTCCAGCTCTGGCAGGAAGAAGGTGCCCTGCAGCTCATTGTAGTAGAACGGCACCTCCCCGGGCCGGGAGCAGTTGAGGCGAGCCTTCATGAAGGTGGTCCAGGTGTCCTCCAGGAGGAATCGCCCTCCGATATCGTTCTTGCAGACCCGGGCAGCCCTGGAGAACACGGTCTTCCCACAGTCATGCTCCACAGCATTTTCTCGGAAGAAGAAGTAGGTGAAGTTGCCAATGTCATAGGAAGACACAAAGTTTGGTTCTGGAAATGAGAGGAGAGAAGAAAACATTAACATTAGACATCTTTCCTTTCTTGAAAAGTCTTGTCTGATAATGTTCTCTTCAAAGGAAAGATGGTTCTGTTCGACAAAAACTAATCCTTACAAGAAATAAGAGGAAAATGAGAGATTCCTCAAGCAGGTCACTGATAAATGCTACAAAGAAATGCATGGTTGTGTATGGTTGTGTCATAATAAAAGATCAACAGTGTGACTCTATCCTCAATCACCCTGCTAAATCTACACTCAAGTCCACAAGGCAATAGTACCATGAAAAGCTCACACATTTGGGAATATATGTGTGTACTATGCACAGGCACAGGCAACAACACTAATGACAAAAGAGGCCATGGACTTGAAAGAGAACAAGGAGGGGTAAAGGGGAGAGTTTGCTGGAAGGAAAGGGAAGGGGGAAATGGTCCAATTGTATGATGATCTCAAAGAGACGACACAAAATATTTGGAAAACAAAACAAAATAAGTGAGAACACAGGCTCACAGATCCGTACATGTTCTAGTGTTCGACAATGCTAAGCTTCAGAAAGAGGAAGCTCTCTTTCTGAGGAAGGACTGAATGCACTGGGGACCAGCGGACTTTAATAGGGTATAACAATGAAACTCATGCACACTTGCATGCTACTGGACATAATTGATATGCTTTCACCAAGGTCCTAAAAATGATACCTTTAATGGCAAAAACTGAATCAAAAACTCATACTGCAAGGTTGATACCCTGAATTAGCTTTCACATCTGCTGTTACTATGGTGACCCTGCAACTGTGACAATCAAGCCTTGTTTTCTGATTTCTAGGTCACCAAGGGAATCGACAGAGAGGAAATGAGTGTTGAAACAGAGTCTAGGAGCGCTATGGTCTCACAATCAGCTGAAATATAGGAAATGCTAAAACGAAGGTGAAGCATTTATTTAACTGTCAAGCTTATTGGGAATTGGGGGATTAGAATTCTACGCAAAGTGTTTAAAGTATCATTGTCTTAATTTGAAGCTGAGCCTAATGACGGAGCTGTTAGTGTTTTCACACACTTACATGCCCTAGTTTTTTCCTTGAAAAACTCCAGCAACCAGTTCCACCTGTCATTCCTTCATTTAGTTTCAAGGCAGCTTAATCCATTGAGTAGACATCAGAATTTTATGGTTTAATTAGGATAACTATGGTAATAACCTTTGATGTTCAGAGTTACTAGAAAGACACAGAAGCTATATATACGAGGATTCTCTTTCCTGGACAGTTGCTTTGTGGTGGAGAAATTCACCTGGCCTTGTGCTTGATGATGTCTGATAGACTGCTTCAGTTTGCCTTTTATTGACAGGATGGTTGAGAACAACCCTGCCAGCAAGATAAGCCCTTGATGTTAATAGGACACAAAGCAGCTCATCTAGGAGCTGGGACAGTCAGGACATAATATCAATGCTGATCCTACTTTTAGCATGTCCAGCAAAACTGTCACCAATTTCCAATCATCTCTTTCTCTCATCAAAAAAGTCTTAATATGACTACATTTTTAAAATAAATACAACGACATATCTATTCTGCTTTTCTCTTTAGCTCTTTCTAGTGCTCTTATGCTAACAAAGGATGCACAGAAAATCTTGACAAGAAATGATTTTAATTTCTATGCCACCATGGATTTGTTTTCTAGGTCACTGCTGCTTTTTAACCTGAAAGAGATACATGAGAAATAAACAAACTGAACTGCACTGAAGCACATAAGGTGCATGAGAGATGTGTGCACAGTTAGTGCACACGTCAGGATCCTGGAGAGACACCCATGAAGTCAAGCATCTATACACGGCACAGATAAAACAGTGAGGGACTTTTATGTGATGGCAACTAAGAATCTCGAGTAGAGAATTATTGCAGAAACAGACACCCAAATGAAAGACAGGGACCAATGACAAAGCTATAGTGTTTCCAGAGTCACCTGTATGCAGAGGCTCACAGAAAAGGCTTTTAATTCATTTCAGAGTGTATCCTGTACCCAGGTTCAAATGGCCAGATTAGAACCTGAGAGCTATACCCAAAACAAGCAAAATCGCCCACCGCCACTGCCATCACTTTGACAATGAGAACCACCACCACCTCTACCACTATCACGATCGCCACTGCTGCCACCACTACCACCACCACCACCATCGATAACAACAGGAAACCCTGTGTGAACTGGAGGAGATACGGATGGAGATACTACGGTCTAGTAGTTAAAAGTGCACTCTGCTCTTCCAGAGGATCCAAGTTAGACTTCCAGGAGCCACACCAGGAAGCTCACAACTACGTGGAAGTCCAGGGGACCCATTACCCTCTTCTGGACTCCATTACCAATGCACTCACATGTGTACATCCACACACAATTGTACATAATTAAAAATAAAATGAACATTAACCAATGAACTTGACAAAATGCAGACAGCACCAGAGCAGGTGTTCTGCCTATGGCTAATGTTAAGAGTACTCAACTGGAAAGAGAGAGGTAGAATTCACCAAGATTTATCAAATACCCTCAGAGATAGCATCTTCTGCCATTAATATGGGTGGAATGTGGGAAAGAAGCATGTGCATATCTCTCTAGTACAGAAGAACTGTTGAGTAGAATAACAAGCACAAAGTCTTCCTGTTGAGTTTCTAATAAAAACAGCTGCACTCTAAGGAACTAGTCCTTGAGCTAAGCTGACTCTGTGCCTCTGGACCCACAAGGACCAGACACCACAGAGATGGCTGATGTGTTAAGATGCTGCTTCATAGTGAAGGATGATAAAATGTTTAACAACTCAGCCAAGACCACAAAGCAGCATCGGGGCTTGGGAGAGAACTGAGGAAGCCCGGAATCAGGATGGCAAACCTTAGAGCCTGCACACTCATTAGCAGTTACAAGGCAGTGAAAAAGAAACACTGGGAAGAAACAAAACATATTATTCTTTCAGTTCTTCAAAACTGGACTGGGGGCAGAGGAGTAGCTCAGTGGGTCAGAACGCTTGCTATACAAGGAAGAAGACCTCAGGACCACAGTTCAAATCCTAAGCACTCAAGAAACAGCCAGAAGTGGCTGTATGTACATTTGAGAGAAGGGGTAAGTGGATCCCAGGAGCTCACTGGCCAGCCTGGCAGGTTCAGTAATAGGCCGTGTTTCAAATACTAAGGTGGAAGGCCAGAGAGTAAGACATAACAAGTTATTTCCATGGTCTCCACATGTTCAAATACAAACCTGTGTGCCTCCGTAGATGTGTGCACATATGCTGCACACAGAGTGTATAAACACACACACATACACAAACACTACAATATGATTAGATTTCTGGTCAGTGTTCTTTTATGAAGAGCTATAACCTTCAACTGATGTTGCTAAGTAGATTTATTTGGGTACAAGCAAGGATGGTTTAGAATGGTCTAGAAGAGATGGTTAAGGAGCTGGAGGAAACAGCACTGAGGAACATTGTGGATGAAAAGGGAAGAGGAACATTGCTGGGAGCGTGTACGCAGTCCCAGAACCGCAGGTTTAAAGGGACATCTATGACTGGCCATTAGGCGCTCTTCTAGCGGTCCACTTTTGTGTATTGTGTCGTTTTCCCACGGGAAAGGTAAGCAGATTGGCCCACAGCTTCCCTCCTCCACAGAAGGCCTCCCCTAGCATTTGCAAGCCTGAATGACAGTGATGCATCCATAGAAAGGCTCAGACGCACCTTTCTTTCTCACTTGAACCTGCGTTGAGCCTGCAGGATCTGTTGCTCTCCAGTTTCTTGCACTGCAGGTCATCTGGCATGGGAACTGAGTCCATTTGGAAACACAGCCTGCTGCCCTACAGTGAACCTTGGGATGATGATGGGTCTCTGACTGCGTGACCAGCTGCTACATTAAGAAGCTCCATTTCTTGGAGAGCAGATCTTTTGAAATTCATCTAGCATCCTTTTCCTTTCCCAGAAGCTACAGACACACCAAACTACAGATCAAACAGGTAGCCGAGTATCTTCTGTGTTCACAGACACAGATCTGGAAGAAAGGACTCCAGTGTCATCAGACAGAATCACAAGATGCACACTGTCTCCTAGTATTTGACCCTTGTCTTTCGTTAAAATGCAATTCACTGCAAACTAGTATGTATCGTTCTTGAAGGAATTGAACAAGCCATAAATCTGGCATTGCTGTCTTCTCTGTGATGGATATGAGGAAGAACGAGCTGAGATATCATTTATACATCATTACTATCAGAGCTACAGGTGAATAGAAGCTTTTCTGCTGACTCATTCGGGACAGAAAGAATCATGGTTCTAACTGAGCATGTCTATAAATATGTGGATGGGGAAGCTGACTGTTCTCATTTTTTATAACATTGAAGTACAGATTATAGAATATTATGCAACATATGTCAGACAAATGAAGAGGGCTAGCCATCAGGACATCAGAATAGTGCTACATCTCACAGAATGATGACCGTACCCAGAGGAGACTCTCGATATGAGTACCTGGGAGTGATGAGAATATGGAGCAACAAGCACCAGAGATGAGTCTGGCCGTGTAAAGTCCCAGAGTGGCCATCTGAAGGAAGTCTCCTAATCTATACTTCCTACTTGAGCGCCCCAAGCACTCACAGGGGAATGTGGTATTCTCAAACGGCATGATCTGGGCATTGCTGTAGCCTGCAGCACTGCTCTGGACTGAACCATTGGCCTGTGACATGTTCTGTCACCCTGCGTGACTACTTAGAGCACTGAAGACGCACTCTGAAAGACTGGGATCAAAGGGACTGGCGCTTAGTAAGAGCACAACAAATGGTGGCTAGGACCATTGCACCTTTCTTTATTCTTGCTGTTCCTTTTCGACTAGTTTGTTTTTGGCAGAACTCCAATCAATACCAATAATGAATAAACAAACACATCCCACATGTATCAAGCTTCAAGACGATCAGGATTTGCGAAGCATAAATGTGGTTAGGCAGAGTTTTACCAACAGGGGGCTTTTCACAGTTAGGAAATG